CTGTCTTTTTTTGTCAAAATTTGTTTTTTGTCAATATTTGTCTTTTTTTGTCAATATTTGTCAAATTTTGGTCAATATTTGTCAAAATTTGTTTTTATTTGTCAGTATGTTGTCAAAATCTGTCTTTATTTGTCTTTGTTTGTCTACATTTGTCTATATTTGTCTCTATGTGTTTGCTTTTTTGTCTTTATTTGTCTTTATTTGTCAAAATTTGCCTGGGCTGCTTAAAAGACCCCATGGTTGGCGGCTATGGGTGCGAAGGTGAGTGACCGCCAGCACCCTGATCTCAGCCGCTTCTCGCTTGGATCGCCCCTGAGCAACCAAGCAATCCCGAATGGCATACATAAAACAGGCAATTTCCTCCACCACGATTTGGCTCAATACGCTTTTCTGGTGGGATGCGGGCATGGGCCCCCTTGGAGCTCCGTTTAGCCTCAGCCTCCGTAACTGGGCCACACTGCTTGGCTTTACCATTAGCCAGGTGGCCGTGGTCGTTGCCACCGTCAATGACCATCTCCTCAGCCGCAGGTGCAGTTGCCGCGTTCCCGTTGCCCTTGGTTTGCCAGTTGTCTCTTTGAAGTGTTGCTTCCACTCAAGAGGCAAAGCTTTAGCATGAGAAGTTTGACGTCCACGATCAATCCTAGTAGCCTCAAGGGATCCCGTAGTGAGGTCCACTACCTTGCCATTCTCCTCCCAGCCGACCTCCTGGAAACTCACGCGAGCCTCCTCGAAGTAGCCCTTCAGGATGATGATGGTCACATCCGGCGGGGAGTCCACATCTGCTGCCGCCACCATGGTGCGGGCTTTCTCGAGTTCTTCGGCAGAACTGGGGAAAAAGATCACATCCTGCTTCTTTTCAGCCGCCATAAGTTCAGAACGCCCTTTGCCGGCGCTCTTGCTTTGTTTGCGACTGCCCTTACCATCAGCCTTGTTTCCACCACGACCTTTGCCGGTCGCTTGGGCTTCAACCTGAACCCTGCGTGGAGGCACTGGAGCATGCTGATTTCTGGGCCTTTCACGCTTTCCGGTGACCTCGGTCCATCCCTCGTCGCTGTTGGCCGCTGGCCAAGTCCGAGCTCCGTGATCCTGATGAGGAGGCTTGGCCGGCCAACCCTCCCACTCTGCTTGTTGAGACCAGCTTGGCGTTGACCAACTGGTCGTCACCGGTTGCCACCTGTTTTCATACGAGCCGTTGTGTTGGGCGCCCCAATCGTCAAGCAGCTTCTGCAATGCCATAAAGGGGTCAGCGGGGCGATCCCACAGCAATTGCTCCAGCTGACTGAACAAAAGCTCCGCATCATCAGCCGGGTCACTCTCAGCTGTCGTATCCTCCTCGCCACCCCATGAACTCAACACGTTGTGGAGGCCCGCGAGCAACTTTTCGGTGCGCTTGCGACGTGTAGCTGCTGCACCACCAGCAACTTCACGGAATTCATCCATAAGGCTGGCCGCCTTGGCCAATACACCTCCGGCCCCTGAAACAGAAGCGACGCCAGCCCCGTCGTGATTGTGTTCATCATGTGCAGCCAAAACGCCCCCGGCACCGTGATGAGCATCCACCATCCCATTGGCCAAAGCACCACCGGCCCCTGAAACAGATGTAGCGCCAGCCTCGTCGCGATTCTGTGCATCATGTGTAGCCAAAACGCCCCCGGCCCCGTGATGAGCATCCACGATCCCATTGGCCAAAGCATCTCCGGCCCCGTGCCCAGGCAAAATGCACCGGGCACCACATACATCTGTACATTGTTTAGCCAAAGCACCTCCGGCCCCGGAAACAACATCAACCGAAACATCCTCCGAAACGGGCCCTCCAGTCGCCAAAGCACAAGGCGATGCAGGAGTAAACTGTATGCAGCGTCATTGGCGCCACTTTCCTCGGCAAAATCAAAACCGTGGAAAAAGTGAGCCTCGAGGCCCACCACCACCAATGCGAGCTGGCCTGAAAAGGCCACGAACTCCCCCACAAGCAGACACGGCAGCGAAAGGCCGTCGCCACATCCTTAATCGAAAAGGCTTGGACCATGAGGCACGAGGCCGGGAAACCACTCGCGCAGCGAAAGCCACATAGTCCTTGAGGTACCATCTCCACAGACACCGAGCACTGCACTGCTGAGGCCGAAGTCGCCCAAGACCCGGACCCCAAAGATGAACAGCCTTGCGTAATCGACGCCTCAAGGCAGGAGAACCCCGAGCACGTCGAAATCTTCTGCAGCCATGATCTTTCACATACAGGCAGACCTGACAGCGCCGAACCCACAGCGCCGAAAGAATCCAAGCCCAAAGAAGGAGCAGCCCAACCCACCAAGGGGCCCAGCCGCATCTCACACAAGTGGTGCAAAGCGTAATGAAGTACGGCCAACCCAAGCAGTCTGCACCCACACTCTGATGCACCCGGATCTGGAAAAGCTGATCCCATCGGATTGTCATGACAACCCCACTGCAAATCATCAACACGCGGAGCAACAGTGGAGGTAGCCTCGGGAGACGATTTCGTACTCGCAGGAAAGCGAGCCTGCGTGCGCCTCGGGGAGGCACTCCTCTTGCACGCCTTCTACGTCGTCGCAAGCGGTCAATGATTATCTATGTTCATGTATATACATACACTCCCATGTAGATCGATCGGTATACGTACATACATACATACATACATACATACATACATATATATATATACAGCTTACAGCAACAACACAAGCAGCATGTTGCAAGTCCGAATCATGCGTGCTGAAATGCTGACTGTGGTGAACATGCTTGTGATCATGCTGGAAGAGAATGCTGGAAAACACCAACAAGACATAGCAAACATTCTGGCGTGCAATAATGTGCCACAACAGTGTCGGTAGCGATACAACGTACAGTGTACATATCAAAGGTGTTGAATGATGAGAGATTCGGAAGTAGACATGCCATCTCACGATCAAACCATGGACATACACGTATAGAAAGAGTTACCAGGCATTTCAGTAAACAAATACAACACGTGGACAAACGCATATACTTATGTTCATGTTCATGTTTGCTGTGTCTACATACAGTATAGATGCGGATTCAGCTCTTTCCGAGATCAGTCACTCACAGGGAGAAGCAGGGAGCTAAGGAATCGATAGAGACGCGTGTGCTCATGCACAAGTATGTATGCATGCATGTATGTGTGTTTTCAGGATCGAATGTGTGCGCATATGTATTGTTACACCAGTTGATAAGCATTGCCGTGCCTCTATCCGGCGCACGACAGGCCCTGAGCGCTCGCCCACACGACCTCGGAGAACTGCACTTCGTTTTGGGCTCTTGTCCAAGGCGCTTTGTTGATTAGCCTTTTGCTACCTTTGCTCTTCCTGTGGTTGCTCATGTAACTCGTCCCATACTGTCGTCAAGGCTGTTGCTACTATGCACATGGCTCCACCATGTTGCAGCGTGTGTGTGTGTATATATATATATATATTTCTGTGTGTGTGTGTGTGTGCGTGCATGTGGTCCGTGTAGTCCATATACTATTGCTGAATGATTCTCCATGCCCACTGTGATCCATTGGCAGCATGTCTCTGGTATGCTCCTGTTCTGGTTCTCTGACAAGGCTCTTCGATCTGCTTATTCTTCGACCGTAGGTGAGCAAATATTCAGCTTCGATGACGACGACAACTGACACTGATTCTGCTGACCGCAACCTGACTCGTTGAATCGCAGTTGTAACTTCTACCACGGGCTACTCCGTTATGTCCTTCTATCACTCTTCATGATCGGATTACTCTCAGTGCGCTCGGAGATGTGTCCCATCTTAGGGCTTTCTTCTTCTCATAACCTGTCCATATTACTGTCGAGATCATGTGCTGGCGCCTGGCGCTGATGCAAGTAAAACTACTGCTTTGCCAAGAGTGTTCGCATTTCTGTTCGCCACAACCGGTCCTGCTGCTCCTAACCACCACCAGCACCACCACCACATACCACAACCACCCCACAACCACCACCACAACCACCACCACAACCACCACACTTACGGCGACCACGACGATGACGTCTTTCGACGGCGCGTACTACCCCTGTTATTTCCAGGCATGGACTCTAGAATGAGAAGTGATGCATTGCGACGCTATCATGTGAAGTGGTACTCCTAAATCCACCATCACCACTGTTATTGCGGATATTGGTATCAGTCCTGTTCGATAGTATGATTTGCCACGCTCCTCAATGTCTTTAAGACAATCAACTGCAATGTACTGCTACGACAGCTGGAGCCACTGTGACTTTAGAGTATCTTTCCAACCATTGCCATCAGTACGCATACTGACGCAAAAACAACTGTACGTGCGTTCGGGTTTGCAAATGCCAAGGGTCTTAAGATGTCTTGAAAAACAAGGGAACACTGGTCCAAAGACGCTGGGTTCCAACCGCACCGCGTTCGCAAAGACATGCCAAGTCGCCATCACAACAGGGTTCTGAGACTAGTCAGAATCGCAGCAACGGAAACATAAGCATAGGTAAACTATATTCATGAGACACAACATAACAAAAACAACACTCCTGTGTGGCATGTTCAAAATGGCGCCAGACTGGTTTTTTGTCTAGTAGAATCCGAGCTGCCCTTGCGGCATAGCAGGCCATTGGTGTAGGGGAAGCCCGGGTATTCGAGAGCCTCCTTCAAAATAATGGGGACGCCTGCGCCGCTCCAGGCCATGACATGTCTGCAGAGCCAATATCTCGAAAAATAATGCCAACTTGTCAGAATGCATCCTGATGCTTGATTCGGACAAGGTGCCCAGAAACGGCGGCCAAGACTTGACAGGATCGCCCTGTGAAGCCTGAACAGAAGCACCGCCGCGCTTTCCCAAACGACGGGGCCTCAGACTCTCTGGCCTCAATCTGCCGGTCCACAGTCTCAGCCTTGGAGCGTGGTCAACTAGCGTGAGAGGGAACTCTGATGCCTCGAAGAATGCCATCCTTGCCACAAGCCGAAGAACCCAAGACGGCCTGATCCACCCACCTCACTAGTCTGAAGAAGAAGTGCTGCCCGTTACCATCACAGACCTACACCCTGCACCTGGGCCAGCGCGGCGGAAAAGCGCTCGGCCACCAGAGCGTTGAGGTGAACCTTCGAATGCTGCACATGAGGAACAGCCCAGACACGGTCAGCCGCAGAAGACCCGTACTGAGCCCAACTGCCATGTGCCAGCAGGTGCTGCTGAGTGCCAGCGAGTCACATCAACCTTCCTGATGCGCTGAATGTAAGCCTTCACGACCGAGGTGGAAGTCAGCTCGCCATTTCCTTGGCTTGACTTGGCGGGGACGAGGGTCGAAGGAGTCCTGAAGACTGATGGGTGCGGAGCTCTTGCTCCCCTGACGGCATCACAAGAGGAAGACGGCGATTTGTTCGACAACTGCTCTGCCAGCGGGTAGGGGTTTTGCGATCGCCGGGGCTTCGCAGTGCATTACTGCTTGCATTGCCCACACAGGCTTCAGTGCATCAGGAAAGACATCCCACCACCGCACCGGAGGTGATCACACAACGAACCCTTCAAGCGCCAAGGGCCATGGCAGCTGAGGTTCGAATGGCAGCTGCCAGCGCCGTTGCGGACCAGCCCAGGAACGGAGGGCTCCCGTCCCATGCTATTGGCCTCCAGAAGCTTCTAAGAGTATGAAGGGTCTTGCTTGTGACCAATGCCCATCCGGAAAACCTGTGCAGTGGTTGACTGCTGCTCCAATCGCCTTCGTGGCCAGTATCTCCTCAGAAGCTGGGGCAGCCTCCTTAAAACGCAGAAGGCGAGAAGCAGCTTTACCTGAGCAGCTCACGGCGCAAGCACCCCGCAAGGTCACCGGTCGGTCCCCAGAGCACCTGAATCTGCCGCGAGTTGCGAGACGTCTCAGTCGTCTCCAGTCAACACGACCATGGCTCAACCACATCGGCTTGGGGAGTCGGGCGAGTCTCTTGGGTTCTTTCGTGGAACAACCGGAACTTTAGGTTGAGGTGATGCTTAACGGACCGGGAAAAGGCAGTCTGGCAGGCTTACTCTCAGGAGCGGTGTCGAAAACCGCAGGCTCAGCTTCGCGTTTGGATCTTATTAGCCTTCGTTGTGCTAACTGAGATTCCTCTGACTCTGACCTGCTGCAGGCTACCTGCCGGCTGTGCTGGGGAACTGATGATTCGGGTGGGCCCACCAGTGTTCTCAGTTCTCAATCTGTTCTGAAGCCGAGGCTTGAGGTGCCGCGCAAAGCCGTCTCTCCGCAAACACGGCGAATGGAACCCCAATCTAGCCATCACGCAAGCATAACTGCAATTTGGAACCTTGCTGCAGAACCTCTACGCAGGGAATGTGGAGTCAATGATGGCAAATGGACGTGTCCTCGTGTGACTCGCATCATGCAAATCTCATGACATCTGTGGCTTGCATCAAGCGAACTTCAGTGAGAGGAGAGAGAGGCTCTCCGAGGGAGCACGCGATCAAACCGGAAACTTAAAAAGATGACCTTCGAAAGGAGTCCTCCCCCACAGCGCTGGGTGCCGGTGACTTCTCCAGAAAGGCCACCATTTCACAGACAAACAGGAGCAGCCTGAGAGCTTTAAGCGGAGGTTCATCAATACGGCTTGGTGTGACAGGTTTCAGGGTGTCTTACGACAATAACTCGAGGCGAACTCCCTTTTCGCCAAGGACCCGCTTAAGGGTGACAGCGGCTACAAAGCTCATCGACATCCCCAACGTCACCCCTCAAGACTGGTAAAATCTGAAAGTGAAAAAAGGCTAGAACAAACCCTTTCAATTGCCGCCCTTGAAATTGTAGTTCACGCGGCTTGAGGTCGCTACGTGCCTGCCGGCACACCAGCCGCGAGGCGACCGGAGTAGTATTCCTCCGACGAGTGCCATAAGAATTGTACGCAAAGTTGCCAAGTAGTGGAGCTGCTCTTGGGAAGTGGCTGCTGGCCGACGAAGATGTTTCGATACGGCGACAGCTTTATTGAAGAGTCCTGCTCCCCCGCAAGCGCCAGTGGCCTCAGCGTGCCAAACTCGGATGGATGACCACAAGGCGCAGCATCGGTTTCACTTCCCGAATACATTCCCTGTCATGCTGCAGAATCAGCAGTAACATGCGTTAGCCCATTCCCGCTCTGCGGTTCACGTACCCTGGGCATACTCACCTTCTCATGTTAGCTGCAGTCACTATATTATACTACAATAGACCACAACATACTACAGTATACTACAGGAAGCTACAACATACAATCACATGCCATAATATACTAGAATAGACTATGGTTCTGGAGTTCTGCTGCAGGCCGCCCTACAGTCAGAGCCGGTCCAAAAGCTGGGCTCCCCGCGAACCACCCGTCGGCAAGCCCTGCCAGGCCCAGACCTCGTGTACGGAAGTCGGCATTAATAATATATATTAAATCTATATATCTATATATATATATATAATCATGTTATAGTATTACATAGTATATTAGAGTATATTAGAGTATACTATAGTATATTATAGTATATTATAGTATATTATAGCATATTATAGTATATTATATTATGTCTATCAACAAGGATATGGGGCTGACGAGGCTTCAACTCGGGCTCGAGGGATCTTCTCCTTCTGAGGTCTTGCTTGTTGGAGGTGGAGGGCACGGGGTACAGGACGGAGCCCAAGGTTGCTTGCCGAGCACTGCCGTGACAGCTCTCTGCATTTCAAGACTGCATGGCTGAGCCTGAGCATTCGATCGCTAGAGTTACAAATCCGCAGAGGCCGCAGGCCGGGATGTAATTTTTGTTCCCCTCCGCCCCTTCCCTCCTCGCCTACGGCCCCCCCGTGCTCCAGAGCGTTCCTCTCGCTCCCGCACCTCCCCGACGGTAAAAGGAGACATCGAAGCAAGTGCTAGCAGCTAGCACTCTGAAACCCTACTGCAGCTAAACCTTGCCCACAACTTGGACGCCGGGGCCGTCCCCTGGCGGCTCTCGTGCTAGCGGTTAAATTTGCCTGCATGCTCTCCCCCCAAACAGTTAAAGCCCCTGAAAACAGACTAGCCAAGGATGTTCACTCCTTTCTCACAGATGTATTTTTTTGGGGGGATACCTTTGCCGGCAAACCGAAACAGATAGCAAACTCTCGGCGCTTGGAAGAGGGCCATGAAACGTCGCAGCCAATCTCGCGCGACGCGCCGCGCTTTCGAGCTGCCTTTGCACTCCTCAGGCAAAGCTCAGATGGGAGGGGGTGTAGGGTTTAGGGTTGATTGGGCACCTTCCAGCTTCCCCGAAGCGTCATGGGCTTCATCTACATCCTGGGCAGCTTCTCAAAGGATCCTGGTAGAAGCGGATGGCCAGCCGCAGCCACACAACGGTGGGGAATCCACCTGGTGCAGAGGGAACATCTGGTGCTAAGCAAGCACAGCCGAAGCAGTCTGCACAGTAATGACTCAGTAATGGTTCATACACTGACACTGAAATAAAAGGTCCAACGACGCGTCACAACCTTCACATTCACAATGCAGCAACCAAGTGTCCTCCGCAACGTCGCTACACTACTCCTAAATGCGCAGGCAGGTCGTTGCGTTTGGGACTTTGTTGGCCAGTTAGGCATGCTCAAGACCGGAGTTTCTCCGTCCCACAGCGAGCCTTAAGCTACGATCTTGCTTGGCAGCCTCTGCAATACGAGAAAACCATCACCGTCGGCAGCATTCCAGGAGTTTGCAAAACCGCAGCTGGGCTTCTGTTCCGGGCAACTCTGCCTGACATTCTCCAGTGAAGCGCAACCCCTGAACCCGGAAGAGACCCCACAGAAGACCGGCACCTTGCTTTGTGCCGGGGATGCGCCTCGCTTTCAGCCACATCCTTGCTGCACTCTTGGCACTGTCTGAGTGAGTTGGGACGGGACGCCACCGATCCAAAAGGACTAGCTACTGATTCGTTCGTTTGAAGACTTTATAGTTGGCACAAGCATTGAAATAAAAACGAGCCAGGGACCAAGACTGGCCTAAGGCAGCCACTTCACGAGGCGCAGCATGGAGGAAAGCTCGGGCCCAGCAGTTCGCCTGGATGTCCAAAGGCACGCCCGAGCCCCTTGTCTGTGCTCGCTCTTTCTCTTCTTCTTCTTCTTCCTCGTTATTCCTCGGCTTATTCTCTCGAGCATTATCGCTCTTTCTCCTGCAAAGCCCAAAAATAAGTGTGGAAGAGTGCCGTACGACCTATATCAACGTTATTCCGTGTCGCTCGTCATCTATTTCCACCCGATTATGGCCGCTGGTGCCCTGGGCCGCAGCAAGTGTCCTGAAACTGAGTCCCGAACAAGGCATAGCGAAACAGAAGAATGTCGCGGATAGAAGACATCTGGTTCCTGGGGCAACCATTGTGAAGCGCTTTGCACAGGTGCAAGGCTTGTCAGATCCAGCTGAGGTCGCGGGCAATGTCACATCTACAGAAAGGCCTGCAGGCTTGTCCCGTCTTCTCACATCTTGGAGACGCATGCGCTGGGCAGTGATTCACCCTCTGGAATTGCGAGAGGCACAGACCCCTCTGCATAGCTCACATCCCCGGCCTGCCAGTCGGAAGGAGAGCAGCGGAACGGCAACCTCCACCAGGCCGGACGTGTTGCGTTTGCTCTTCAAACTTCCTCCCTATGCTTCTCTCGCGAAGGTACGGACGGAGTCATCGTCGCAGCCATGTTGAAGGAGTCGGGCTGCATAAGACAATGTCATAGACGCAGGTTTATAAATGCTGCTGCCAAATGCAACCCAAGCTTGTCAGAACCTTTGGGCTTTTACCGCTGTGCACTGCTCGGAAGTGACCTAAGACTGGCATTCTCACTGTGCTGGCTGGCATTCTGAAAGTCTCGGGAATGGTCGTGAGGGACAGAGAAAGCTACGAGTAGGGCGCAGAGGGCTGTGTAGAACTCGATCTAATCGAGCTCAGCTTTGAGAAGTGAAGCAGCAGCCGACAGCACGGGCCTGCTCCAGCAATATTACATCGACGGCCTCGCCGGCCTGTCCAGAACTTACTGCGAGCCCGCCGATCATCGCATAAGGCACCACGGTCATAGTGGCCTCTCCTTAGTCCTCATATTGCGCGAGCTGCCTTCAGCAACGCCTCCGTGACGGCGGCCAGGGCTGTCTTGGGATTCACCTGAGAACTTAGACAAACTCTGACAACACGGGCGTGCTTCGCGAATACCTAAACACTCTGAAAGCCTGA